AAGATATTAAACAAGGCTGGCCCCAAAACCGAGCCCTGGGGTACACCGCTCATGACCAGCCACCAACTGGAGTGCATTCCTTTATACCACACACTTCATATCCATAGAGCATTGGATTGACACCCCTTATGTATGTTTGGAGGATCATGCCTGCTGTTAGTTATCAGGTGATGACAAGATAGCTGTGACACATCCTCCCATAAAACTGAAGCTGGATTATTGTAGTCCTCTTGCCATTCCTAGATTATTAGCAAAATCGGTCTGCCATTTGTTCAGAAACCAGCAATTTGATGAGCCATGGGTCTGAGCTCTTGTTCTGACTATCTGTTCTTGAGGTTCCTCTCCTGAGAAGCAGCTGTTTACGTTAGCTGTTTTTTGGGGGTCTGAGTGGGACCTTCTGACTAAACCAAGAGTTACTCTTCAGCAGTCTGTATTCTTGGAATTCCTGTCTGACTGGATTTCATTTGAAATTAATTCTACTGATTTATGGAGGTATAAAGGACTCCTTGTCCTGTTAGATTCAAAATGCCAGCCTATACCTCACATATACCCTGTGAGTAGAGTTTCCACCAAGTATCAAAATTTACCAGGCAATCAAGCTGATGCTTGCCTTTACGATGGGAAAGTTTTTTTCCTGAAAAACTGTGCATTGTATCTCCACATCTGTTTAAAAATCCAGAAAACGTGGTTTCCCTTCTTCGGAGACTGACACTGGAGAAATATGTGCTTACTTAGTGGGACATTTTACCAACAGTAGATACTACAAATGCTCCAGTTTAAGGTTTGCACAGTGGCCTGTAAATTCACAAATGACAAATGATGTCTTCCTCCCTGTCACACTGACAGTACAGCTTGTTCGAGTTAACAACGAGAAATAAGAAAATTAGGATGGCAACGTGTTTTCTCTGACATCTCAAGTAATCTGGAACTTGCTTCTCTTTCGCAGAACTACATAGCCTGAACATGGTGGTGTTAGAGACCTTCTGTGAAAGATCTCAGTTAACAATGATTCCTTCAATAGAGGTGAAGTGGGGATAGTTAGATAATGGGATGTATTTCTTTTTAAATAACCAAATTATTATTTCTGACAAAATGTTGATGTGAAGTTTGGATTTGTCTTGAGTTATAAGCTATTTCCCATGTAAACAAATATGCTAAATCTGGGGAGGGCTGTAGTAGCTATGAGTCAGTGCAGAAACTAGACAGACTTTTAAAAGAAAAGGGAAAGCAATCATGGGAATTCCGTATATCCACCCTTTGATTACAGAAGCAACTGGAGCGTAATGAGGAAGGATGATAAACAGAAGAACTGAACTTGACAGCTCCTCCAGCTCCTCCACACAGGGCAAAGAAATGCATTTTGTGTGCAAGATGTGCCCCTAGTGTGTCTGTATTACTTTGTATAAAGGCCTCATCTTCTTTGTTTGGCTGGAAATGAAGGAGGCAGACAGCTCGCAGCTCAGGAACTGTAAGGTTGTCTGCATTCTTGTCATGGTGAGGAAGAGTTTCTGGCAAACTTGGAGAGGAGCTGAGAGGCTGCCAGTCTATGCAGGCTCTGGAGAGTTAAGGTGACATGGATTTGGCCATGCTAGAGAGGAGAAATCACCTCAATGAAAAGATCAGGGAGAATGTATCTCTCTGTTTCTACCAATGTCTAAGTCTATGTATTCTGAAAGCTTGCACTCATGTAACTGCAGAAAATGAAGAAGCCTGGACACATAATATTAGTACAGGCTGTTACATCTAGTTCTATTTGAAAGGATTCAGTAATATTTCAGCTTTTTTTTTTATAGTGGTGCAAGGAAAGATGGTGTGCTGAGAACACTTCCTCAGCATCCTGTTGTAATTTGTGCAGTTACTCTTTCAGGGCTGGATACAACTTACTTTCTCTTTTTTTATCTCTATCTTCCTGGAGGGTGGGAGAGTAGAATTTCAGGTAAAAGAAGTCTACTAATTCCCCTTGTCCTCACTGCCCACCCCCAATGCACTTTTCAGATCCATGATTCTGCTTTTCCTACATGTGCTGCCTTTCAGGAATTTCAGGTAGAGCTGTTGCCTTTAATAAGGGGACAGTCTACTTAAAATACACTGCAGGCAGAGTCCCCAGCCCTGCAAATATAGGGCACGGGCACTGTTTTGGGAAAACCGTGCTCTATAATGTTACCTTCTGATTTCTGTCACACAAAGGGAAGTCAAAAGGTTTCCAGCACTTCAAAGGGAGAGCCAATGGAAGACTTTTTCCAGTTGACGCTCTCCAGACCCCAGTTCTGGGATGGCAGAAGAGGGCTTCCTTGTGAGCTGGAGGAAGACGCCTCATCTGCTGCTCTTATAGCAGCAGGGAGAGCGGGGAAGAGGTATGGAGTTCAGGGACCAGAAGAAGAACAAGGCAGCACAAAACTTGCAAGCCATTATGAAGGGGACGCTTCTGACGTGTAATGTGGGGTGACTGTGGAGTCTCAAGGAGAATGGAAAGCACGAATTTGTGTGCTAGGGAGATAAAGGAATTCAGTCTAGTGCTCCTGGGCTGTCTGGTTTTTGTCGGGCTGTCTGCGGAGGTGAAGGGAACAGTATTGAATTAATTGGGGCAGCTTGTGTGTGGGAGAGCAGAACTAATTAGGACTGTGTGGGGATGCAAGTATAGAGGGAAAATCACGTGTGTTTAGGGAACAGAACCAATTAGGAACCTGTATTGGAGGGGCTGGGGGATTGTCCAGTTATAAGAATATTTGATTAGGAAAACTCTTTGGTGCTTTGGGGGAACAGAAATGGGGTTTATTGAGATGATAGGGAGGCACAACAGGATGAAGTAGGTAGAGCAAAGAAAGAATTGAAAGGAAACCTATCCTTAAATCCTCTCACCTTCCTCTATCTAAAATTCATTCCCCCCTCCCAGGATTCTCATCCTTTTTCCATGTTTAATGCAAAGGCAATTGAAAATGGCATAAGAGGAAAAAAGTGCCTTGCCTTCTTTCCCAATCAAAGGACCAATGGCCTCCCTTCCGTTTCCGTACATTGGCATTAAGTACGTAGGGCTGGTGTGCTCTTCTCTGTTCTTCCTTTGTATAAACTTTAGTCATGGGGAGAGAGGAGCTACAG